GTAAAGACTCCTGAGGACATGACAGCTCTATGTGAATCTAGTAGGATCATTCGACCTTCAAGAAGGTGCGAATCCATGATCATTAATCAGATATTAGTGATCCAGGATAAAGAACATGCTAGTTGCAACAAAATAAACTCAAATGTTGACTTAAAAGATACAGCAAGAGGTCATGATACTTGAGATCAACTCGGCGTATGTGAATAAGGTTTGGACCTTGGTCAAACCTCCTGATGGAATGATACCCATAAGGTTCTGTAAATAGTTTACAAGGGAAATGTCGATGTGGATGTGAATATCCATATATACAAAGCAAGGCTAGAAGCAAAGGTTAAGTGTTGACCTTGGTGAAACCTTTCTCCTGTGGCCTTGCTGAAGTCCATTCGGGTTTTATTTGAAACAGTTGCCTATCGTAACTAAAGGTTAAAATAAGTTTCTATGGAGCTGAAATTTTCGATTTGATGGAAAAAGTAAAAGTATTTGATTTTATCAAATTTGAAGACGAATTGTGTGTTTACAAGAAGATAGTGGGAGTATTGTTGTATTCCTAATATTATAGAAAACGACATCCCTATATTTCAATCGTTGAAATAATGGTTGTTAAGGAATTTATTCATGAACGATATGGGATAAGCAACTTGATCTATAGAGGTAAATCTAGACGATTGCTTAACTCATCCCAATTTACATAAATGTAATTTTGAGAAAATTTCATATGGAGAAACTTGTTTACTCTTAAGCAGTATGTTGGAAAGGTTCCAAACGTGAAGCAATCGTTGATTCAATAGTAGAAACCTAGTACATGATTACTTCAGAAGTAGCAAAGAGTTGCAATCTGGATCATGATATTCACAAATGAATTTGGAGTAGTTTCTGATATTGTTGATCACATACTATTGTATTGTGATAACAATAGAGCCATTGCGAAAGTAAAGGAACTAAGGTCTCATCAATGATTCAAACATGTATTAAGACGGTATAATCTCATCAAAGAGATAATACATAGAAATGACATAAAAAGAAGAACAAATTCCCACATTTAACAATATTGCAGATCCACTGACAAAGAGTTGTCGTAACATAAACATGATCGTCATGTAGACTTATGATATTGGATACATAAGTGATTGGATCTAGTGCAAGTGGGAGTTTGTAAGTATTATGCTCTAGGTCCAATCAACTTTGGACATAAATACTTTTGATATATATATATAATTAATGCAATTAAACGGCAGATCCATTATTTAATTAATAGACAATTAAATAAATAATATAGTTCGTAGATTTAAATCTTCGTAATTTGTTAATCACAAGGAGTTGTGATTGTGAGATACAAATTACATTTGATTGAATCTTAAATCGTTCGTGGTCGTAAGTAATAACGAGGTAAGGATATCGTTGTTACGGATAGACCATCACGTGTGGCATTTCTTACTTGTGAAGTAAGTAGCTGATCTCACAAGTTAAAGTGTGGTGACACTTAAATGAACACGTAGATGTTTTGTTATAGAATAAAATATTGGAGACCCGTCGAGAGATTCCACATTTATAACTATCTGAGTGTCAGTGGTTAATCTCTAATGTTCGGTAGTGAAATTGGTCCTTTGACTTGAGGTCGTCATGGTACCTTGTATGAGGACAGTCATACTTTAACGGTGTTGGATGTTGTTCTGCAAAGGGCCGCTAATACGACATCGTTCGGGTACGTCAAGAATCATATGAAGGTTGTGATTCACTAATAAAGGATTTGTCACTCTTAGATAGTAGAAGATTATGATCTGCGTTTCATTCAATTAAGTCGATGATGAAATCCTTGGCCAAGGTGTACTCATAAGTCGAAAAGAAGTTTTCGACTTATATTGACTTAATAGTGGAGTGAAAGATATGATCGATAATCGAGATTGACACACTTTTATATCTCGTAATTGATCGGATCATATTGACGAAGGGATTATAGTTTCACGGTAAACGAACGAATTTGGTTTTGTCATACCACGTGACATTCCCGTCACATGCATTGCCCTGACACATTGCTAGATGTCAATCAGGGACGGCGAGTGTGAATTGACGATAAATTAAAAGGGTGTTTTAATTTATCAATTTTGATTAGATCAAAATAATATTTCACGTCGTTAGGTATCGTGGTCGGGAACCTAATGGGTCGCACACAAAAGAGAATTAGAAAATTGCAAATTGCCAATTGGTTAATTTAACAATCGTTGGGTAAATTAATTAATTGGATTTGTTATTTATATTCCCGAATTAATTGATTGGATTAATTAATTCACGGACCGGGTTTAATTAAATGGATTAATTAAATATTGGACCGGACTGGGCCGAATCCGTTTGGGTTTATATAAATACATGGTTAGGGTTTGAGGTCCAGATGATTTTCATTATTCTTGCTGGCACAAGAGGAAAAACCCTAGTAGTTGCAATTTTATTCTCTGTGTGGATCATCGTTGGAGGCTGGACAATTGGACAACTATAGGTGGCGAATCAAGATTGTTGGAACGAAAAAAAAAAGAAAAAGGTTTGTAGAATTCGAAAAAGGTATAATTTTTATCACGATTTCTATCTAAACATAAAGGAATCCTCGGTGGGAATCGAAATAATTTTAATTTTTCGCTATACATATATAAGTAGATTCCCAACACAATACATGTTATATGAAGCATTTCTGAATTTCATCTATAATGTATGATTCTCGATCCTAGAGTCACTGTGCAGACTTACTCTGTACATGCAATCCTTGCATTGCATTCTGCACCAACAGGCGAATCCACCGGTCATCTACAGGGACTTGAAATCATCTAATTAATATTATTGGATGAAGGGTTCAACCCTAAACATTGTTTGGATTTGCAAAGTTTGGTCCAAATGAGGATTTTCTTATTACCACAAGGGTCAAGGGTAAATATGGATACTGTGCACCTGAATATGCCTGCAATGGACACCTTACACTGAAGTTAGATATATTCAGTTTTTGCATGGTCTTGTTAGAGATAATCATTGGACGTAGAGCGTTAGATCTAACTCGTGGAAATTGAAAGTATTTGTTTCTTAATTGTGTAAAATTTCAATGTCAATGCTATTCATGTTTAAGAGGAATTGCAAGTAATTTAAAAAATAAAAAATTTAAAAAATAGACGACTTATCAGATATTGACCATACTGTTAGATTGTGCAAAGCAAAAGGTTTCTTATACATTCTGTAACTCCTCTGATGGAAGACCATAAGAGGTTTGTGCAATTTGTTAATCCATGAGTGAAAGAACAATTTGGAAACTTCGTGTTGTGTAAGGTCATTGACGTGGCATTAACGTGCAAAAGAGAGGATACAGAAGTAGTGGATGCTATAGATAATTTGGCATCGAGCAATATGACCCCTGTCGATCAAGATGAACGTAAGAGAGACAAAAAGTTGCATAAGAACGAAGGACAAAGAAATGAGTTCAAGCCCCATTTGTTTCCCATTTATGTAAAAATAAGAATGAAAAATATAGCCGTTACGGACTCCACACAAGAGATAGAAATTCAAATATGATAATTTGATATGATGAATAACGGTTATATTTTTCATTTTAATGAGAAAAGAATTGAAAACAAACAGGGGCTCAAGTTTGAACGCCCCTAGAAATCCAGGGCGAGGAGATTAATCCAAATTTCTATGATTAAGCCCCGTTTGAGCCCTATTATATTTCATTATATTAAATTAAATTTTTTTTCCCTACTTTTAACTACACAATCTTCAATAAGATAATATTATACATAAATCAAAAAATTTTTAACTATTTATTTTTCAAAAAAATACTATTTATCTCATTATAATTTATAAATAATGGGGCTCCAACTGTCCCTAATTTTTTTTGAAAAGTCAAAGTCATTGATTATGTCAAAAATTGAAAACTGAGAAAAAGAGTTGACGTGTAGAACACTTACGCAGAATAAAGCAGCCTTTTATTTACCCAAATTCAAGACTACGAGATTTTCTCCATCTTCAAGCTGCTCTCTCTCCCTCTCTCTAACGCGTAAAAATGGCGACCCCAATTATCCCTCTCCTCCTTTTCTTTCTCCTGGCCGTCACAGCCTCCGCCCGTCCCTGCAAAACCCTTTTCTATTTCGCAACAACCACCACCTATTACCCTTATTCCCTTTCCCAAAACCCTAACCCTAGCGAGGCTAATTTCCTTTTGCAAAAGCCTTCTTCCTTGTCTTCGCCCCGTTATCTCACTCTAATCTTCACCACCACCACCACTACTCGATTCCCTAACCATCATCCATCCGTCAATTACAACGATCGCCCGATCGATCTTGAACACGACATGCTTCCGTACAAAGGCCACGCTAAGTTGCACTCCTCAGTCTCGAGCTCGATTAGGGATCGTACCAAGGACATCATGAGTGTGGTTGGGGCGCTGCTGTTCGGGGTTGGCTGCGGAGTCCTCACGGCCGCCACAATGTACTTCGTGTGGTCTCTGTTCTCTCCCCGCCGCTTTGACTTTGATGATGATTCCTCCTTTTCTTCTGATGATGATGACGACGTCACCTCCGCCAAGAAGATGGGGTATCTGGCTATTCCTACCAAGCCCAAGGTCGTTGATGATGACCTCAAGAAACCTGCATCCCCAGCCAAGGACGAAGCCTGATGATTTGATCGAATTTATCAGCGTTTTCGGAACCCAAAGGATTGAAAAAGTGATTGATAATTACCTGAGTGTATCTATCTATGTATTTATTATTCACGTTATCGTGCTACTACAAACTGCTTTTAATTGTGATATGAGGACCACCTACTATGGATTTAATTGTGTTCTTGCTCTGCTTTTATAACTGATTTCTTGGCTTGCATTGATCAGAAATGTTTATTTAGTAATTAAAATGTGTTGTGCACTGTCCTATTATCTGTTTTTTTGAATTTTGAATATGGAAAATGAAATAATGATCAATGCTTACGCTATACGCAGCAAGTTGGGAGAATGTTAAATGCTTTTGATTAACACATTAACCGATCATTTTCCTTTGTCATGAAATGGAGTGATAGAAATGAGTTCTGATTCCAAGGTATTGAATCATGTGTTGTTGGGCTCCAAAATTCTTGATAAAAATTGAAACAGGGTCCTCAATCCTTGATTTACCATATTTCGTTGTCCGGGCTCTCATAATCATAATGTATGAAGGAGATTCATTTGCATAAAAAGATTGAAGTTTTACAATTTCATGTAATCTCTGTCTTTAAAAATTTTAAGTGGCTGCATGCTAATGAATCTGATTTTCCATTAATGATGCCTTATTTGTCAGGACTGTAAAATAAGAACTTAGAGAAGATCAATTCAAATTTGAATGCAGTCATTCTAATTCGAGCCAACTCTGTATGATATGAGTATCAACAGATCTTCTGATATATTTCTTACAACTACGCATTGTTGCTTGGAGATAATTAACCTTGATGTTTCTTTGTTCTTAGGTAAATCACAAAAGCTCAGTTTGAATTTATGTTTATAGTGAAGTAAATTGACAACCATATGCAATATTACCTGTAACATTTTTATAATCCATTGATATTCAGTTTGTTGAGTATCAAGAAGCATCTTCTACCGTAGTAAGCGTGTCGTGTGGATTTTTAATCTATTGATAATCAGTATGTGGTTGCTAGGTATCAAAAAGCATCTTCTATTGTAGTTTTAAGACTGCCATGTGGTTTTGTTACTTGAAATTGTTGTGATCTCAGACTTGCCTTCGTGTTAGTTTAAATGAGAACTGGACAGATTCAGTTAACATTACAGATTCTTATTGCCTTTTGTATCTTTATAAAATCCTCCCTAGTCGGTGAGGGCTTGGGAGCTTTTCATCATTGGTCGTTGGAATCGAGATACTTGTTTTATCGGCAATGTATTGCACCTTTCTGCCCCATACGGTTAATTGGACATCTCTCAGCTATGCAATGACTGAAGAATAATGCCAGAAAGAGCTGAGGATAAACATCTTATTAAGTGCTGGAACCTAGTTTTTCATGGTGCATCAAAATCTTGGAGATAAATATGAACGCTAGTTCAAACTTTTACCTCGTTCCCTCTCCTCTCATACATTGAGGATTTGTTCGAATTGACATGTCTTTGAGTTCAAGTCTTGGTCTATTTACATTACTGGGAATGACGACCATGTGAAAGAGGAATGCTTAGAGTCAAATGTATAGTGGCCAGTTTAACTAATGTTGTAAATATGTTGAATAACCTAAACTAGAGTTTTGATGAAACCTTTTACCCATAAGATGTGCTTTGTATCTTCGAGATGGTTAAAGCCATTGACATTAGATTTTTAAAGTGAAAATTCCATTTGGTAAAGAAGTCTTTATTGTAATTGTTTAGTCGAGTAATCGATTTCGGACGTACTTGTGAATGATTAACGCCTATATAAAGAAAGATTTGTTGATTGTAAACAAGTATATTTAATTTCTATAGGAAAGGGATTGGGGTCTCAGATGAGTTAAGTTTCGATTTTTATTATGAAGATAACAAGATTGAGTTTAAAACAAATAGATAGACATGTACTAAATTCAAGAAAAGATGAACTAGCTTTTTTATTGCAATGATGATAGTTAGTTATAGAGAGAGTTGATGATGATAGCAGTTAGTTACTAGCAAAATGGGGGATTGGGTTCACAAGAAGAGGAAACTTAACATGGACAGAGTGTCCTGGAGCTTCAGTCATGTCTAAATCTTTTTGAGTTGCAAAGTTGAATTTATGCATCAATTTTGCCAAAGCAAGTTCATCAACACCTATGGCAAATGTAATACCGGGACAGCCTCTACGACCAACACCAAACGGGATAAACTCGAAATCGAACCCTTTGAAGTCAATTCCTGAATCAAGAAACCTCTCTGGATGAAATTCTTCAGGATTTTTCCACAAAATAGGATCTCTTCCAATCGCCCAAGCATTGATCATCACTCGGGTTCCAGCTGCAACTTCATACCCCATTAATGTAGTATCTTGGGTCAATTCTCGAGGAAGCAGTAATGGAAATGGAGGATGCAGTCTTAGGCTTTCTTTGATCACAGCCTTTAAATAGGGCATTTTGTTTTTCTCTAAATCTTCCTCTGTTATATCTAATTTACTTCCGGCTACTAATCTCACCTCGTTCTGTAGTTTCTCCATGATTTTTGGGTGCCTTAAAAGCTCAGCCATTGTCCACTCTAGAGCTGTATATGTTGTATCAGTACCAGCACCAAACATATCCTGTCACAAGGAAAAATGATTAGACTAAACCAAATTGTTTCTTTAGTGAAATCTTGTATGCTTTGAATATTGTTTGCAAGAGAGAGATACAATGGGATTCTTACAAAAATGAGAGCTTTAATGGTATCAGTTTCAATAGGGTAACTAGAACTGTTCTCCCTCTGAATTTCGAGCAATATGTCCACAAAATCTACTTCATCGCTACTCCCATCACGATCTGTCTTTCCTTGCTTTCGACTTCTATGCTCTTCAACTACGCGCGTCAAAAATTCATCAAATGATTTGGCCACTTTCTCCAATCTGGCATCAAAACCACTGACACGATTAATCCAGTTAAGCCATGGCACGTAATCCCCAGGGTTAAAAGTGACCAATAACTCCCCAATTTCCTTCAACATCAACTCAAAGTTCTCACTTTCTTCTCCACCATCATATTTCCTTCCCAAGACCACTCTACTTATAATACTATTAGTAAGCGACACCAATAGATTGCTCAAGTTCACCTCAGACATCGAAGAAGAGGGTGAATTTCTAATTTTCTCAATCATAAGGGACGTTTCTTCTTCTCGTATGTGACGGTAAGATTGAACCCTCTTGTTGCTCAAAAGCTGAAGCACGCCTATACTTCTAACTTGCCTCCAGTGATCACCATATCGAGCAAAAGCTATATCCTTAGAGCCATAAACAATTCTATGCATAACGCTTAGTTTCGGCCTGCTTGAGAAAATCAGGTCCTGATTTTTCACTATCTCTCGAACTGCGTCAGCAGAGGAGACTATCAGTGCTGGTACACTGCCCAAATGAAGCATCATGAGTGGACCGTAGCGTTCGGATAGTCCTTTCAGCGAGCGATGAGGGTGTAAGCCGAGTTGGAGAAGATTTCCAATTACCGGAAGTTTCGCTGGAGATGGTGGCAAACTTTTCCGGGCTTTTGAAGTAGCATTATAGTACCATTTGTAAAGGAAGATGATGAACAAAATAAAGTAAATAAAAGAAATCATTTTCTTTTCTTAAAGCAGATGAAATTTGCATGACAATCTTGTATATTGTCTACTCTTTATATTATGCGTTTCTCCCTAAACCCCAATAATTAATCTTGAAAATGATCCAGTATATGTGTTGATTACTGGGAACGCAGATGCAGTCTTTGATGAATTTCAACAAGCTTTTTTTCTAAAAAAATAAAATAAAATTATGAACTGCGGTCTAATTTTGGATATATAATATTTTTGTTTGCTTGTCCATTTGCTTGGATGACGCCAAACTTCTAGATGGAGTTGACATCTTTTGTATTATTGCCTCCAGAATATATTTTCTTGAGTCATCAGAACAATTATTGAAACAACAGAGTCAAAATACTAATTATAATAATGACTGGTATTTATTCGCACGTAATGAGATACATCATTCATTTGAATTCTCAACTTTGAATAATTTTCTCTTGGACACCGTTTGATTCAACAAAATTTTCCTTAAAAAATGGAATTTGAATTTCAACTTCCACAAAAAAGGTATTTGATAGCTTATATTTATCATGGAATTGAATTTCTTAGATATCTTGGAAATATTTTTTTTCGTTTCTTTCTTTTTTCTTTTTTTTTTTTTTTTACAATGGAAACCAATTCTAAGAATAGTTGAAAATGAAGATGCCTTTTTATATAATTTACAGTGTTCAGCTACCTATCTGAATATACACTTTGCAGGTTGGGATTAAATAGATACATGGAGCTTATTCTAGAAAGTTTAGCTGGAGCCATTCACGTGAAATATGGGTGACTATTTGAATCTACTACAACTGAATCTGGTGTAACAGAAAATGTACAGCTAGGCTGATTAGTTGCAGTGTATTAGAGTTAATGAGATAATTAACTCTTAACACCCCCTCTCAAGCCAGATGGTACTGCTGTAACACCGAGCTTGTCCTTCAAAAAGATGAATCTGGAATGAGAAAGGCCCTTTTGTTAACACATCTGCAATCTGATTTGAAGATGGCACATATTTCACTTCTAACTCCTTTCCAAGAACTTTATCTCTGACAAAATGAATGTCTGATTCTATGTGTTTTGTTCTGGCGTGGTAGACAGGATTCGTTGCAAGTGCACCAGCACTCATATTGTCACACCACAGGATTGGAACTGAGACTTGTGGCATTTCCAGTTCTTTGAACAAGGACTGGATCCAGGCAATTTCTAAGGTCGCAGAACCAAGAGCTCTATATTCTGACTCCGTGCTTGATCTAGCAACAACATGTTGTTTTTTTTTATGACCAGACTATCAAATTTTCTCCCAGATATATACAGTATGCGGCTGTTGATCTCCTGTCATCAGGACAGGAAGCCCAATCTGCATCTGAGTATCCACTTAATGTCAGCCTGTCATATCTTTGAATCCACAATTCTTGATTCATTGTTCCTTTTAGATACCTTAATACTCTCTTTACTGCTTGCCAATGTGTTGATATTGGTGATTGTAGAAATTGACTTAGTTTGTAACAGCAAAGGTGATGTCAGGTCTGGTATGTGTGAGATATTGCAGTGCTCCTACAACACTTCTGTAAATTGAAGGATATTTTATAGCTTCTCCTTCAATTTTTTACATAGTCTTACCATTTGTGATGGGAGTAGGATAAGGCTTTAAGTTCTGAAGTTCAAACTTCTTAAGCAACTCAGTAATATATCTTGTTTGTGTAAGATGAATTCCTGTGTCATGCCAACCAACTTCAATTCCTAAGAAATGATGCAACTGGCCCATATCTTTCAATGCAAACTTCCTGTTCAGTTCATCTACAAAATTTTGTAGCAACTTTGTATCATTCCTTGTTATGACTATGTCATCTACATAGATGAGTGCAAATATAACTTGACTTTCATTCTTAAAATAGAACAATGATGTGTCAGCTCTTGATTGCTTGAATCCCCAACTTATTAATGTATCTTTCAGCTTGTCATACCATGCTCTGGGTGCCTGCTTTAGGCCATAAAGTGCCTTTTCTAGTTTGCACACATGCAATGGTTTTGAATTGTCTATGAATCCTTCAGGTTGATTCATGTACACAACTTCCTCAAGTTCACCATTTAGGAAGGCATTGTTGATATCAACCTACCTACTGCTTGCCAATGTGTTGATATTGGTGATTGTAGAAATTGACTTAGTTTGTAACAGCAAAGGTGATGTCAGGTCTGGTATGTGTGAGATATTGCAGTGCTCCTATAACACTTTTGTAAATTGAAGGATATTTCATAGCTTCTCCTTCAGTTTTTGACATAGTCCTACCGGTTGTGATGGGAGTAGGACAAGGCTTTAAGTTCTAAAGTTCAACTTCTTAAGCAACTCAGTAATATATCTTGTTTGTGTAAGATGAATTCCTGTGTCATGCCAACCAACTTCAATTCCTAAGAAATGATGCAACTGGCCCATATCTTTCAATGCAAACTTCCTGTTCAATTCATCTACAAAATTTTGCAGCAACTTTGTATCATTCCCCGTTATGACTATGTCATCTACATAGATGAGTGCAAATCTAACTTGAGTTTAATTCTTAAAATAGAACAATGATGTGTCAGCTCTTGATTGCTTGAATCCCCAACTTATTAATGTATCTTTCAGCTTGTCATACCATGCTCTGGGTGCCTGCTTTAGGCCATAAAGTGCCTTTTCTAGTTTGCACACATGCAATGGTTTTGAACTGTCTATGAATCCTTCAGGTTGATTCATGTACACAACTTCCTCAAGTTCACCATTTAGGAAGGCATTGTTGATATCAACCTGCCTGATTTTCCATCCTCTTGAAACTGTAAGGGTAAGTATTACTCTTAAGGTTGATGCCTTGATAACGGGGCTAAAGGTTTCATAAAAATTAACTCCAGGGGTTTGATGAAAACCTTTAGCCACTAGTTTTGCCTTGAATCTTTGAATTGATCCATCTGAACTGTGTTTCAGTTTAAACACCCCTTTGTTTCCCACTATGTTGTATGATGGTGAGGAAGGTACTAGTTTCCAAGTTTTGTTTTCCATCAGTGCATCAAATTCCTCTTTCATTGCTTCTCTCCAATCTTTACTCATTAGTGCCTCACTTACATTTTTGGGTTCCCTGTGTTCATGATTATGTTCAACTGATTGTCCAGTGTAGACCTTTGGTTTGAACACTCCTGCTTTTGCTCTAGTAACCATAGGATGCTGTATCTGATTGCTTGGTTTGTGACTCTGGCTTAGCTTACTACTACTTGATTGCTGATTGTCATTTTAACTAGTTGCAGATGACTATTGTGACCAGTAGCACTATCTGATTCAGATTGTTTAATGTCCTGTGACAACCATACATCTGTCTCCACACACTGTTTATTTGCCTCATTAAGTAACTCTTGTGCATTATCATCATCTCTGTCAATGCTATCATTATGAGGCTGATTTGCATCACCTAAGCTACGAGGTAGAGAATCCATAACTTGGGTTGCATCTAGATAAGTTATATCAGTAGGATCAGGGCTTGAGTTATTTATCTGGGAAGGAAATTGAAACCATGACACTATTGTTTCAGACTAAACAGGATTTGACTGACCTTAGATGAGGAAACCAGACTCAAAAGAAAGCTCAAACTCATTGAAAACAACGTGTCTTGAAATATACACTTTTCCAATTGAACTGAGGCACTTATAGCCTTTGTGAGACTCACTATACCCAAGGAAAACACATTTTGTTGAATGAAAATTGAACTTATGCTTTTGATAGGGTCTCAAGAAGAGATAGCAAGCACACCCAAAGGTTTTAAGTGCCTTATAATCAATTTCTTTTTTGTGTGAAACTTGGAATGGGGAATGCATTTTGAGAGTTGGAGTAGGCAACCTATTTATGAGGTGTGTAGCTGTTTGAAAGGATTCCCACCAGTATTTCAATGGCATTTTGGCTTGGGCTAATAGAGTCAAACATGTTTCTGTTATATGTCTATAGCTTTCGTTCTATTCTACCATTTTGGGCTGAAGTATGAGGACCGGAATGTCTAAACTCAATTCCAGATTGTGTCACAAGGTTTGTTAAGCTTCTATACTCACCTTCCCAATCTGACTGTAGGGTCTTTATCTTCCTTTCAAACTTCTTTTCAACCAGTTTTTTTCAATACTCATAGTCCCTTTTCTTGTCTTCTGGAGTTCACCAGTGAGAAAAGTTATTCTAGATTTGTTCTGAATGCCATAACTCTCATTCACAGCAGTCCAGAGTTAGTTAGAATTGCTAGAGCCCATAGCTCTCATAGCAATCTCAGGAGTCATTGAGGAGTAAAGCCATCCCATCAACAACTGATCTGTGGACATCCATTGACTATTCTGGGGATTTTGAGTTACCTCGACACTAGCTTTTGCTTCATCAGTGGTTTGAGTACTAATAAATTCTGGAGGACACAGCTTTGTTCCCAGAATGTGACCTTTAAGGTTGTGTCCACGTATGATGGGAAGAATCATATTTTTCCACAGCAAAAAATTGTTTTTGTCAAACTTCACAGACACCATTTGGGTTAAATTGACACCAAAAGGTGAAGGTTGGTTGCTTCCCTACATTGAAGGCGCCATTGTGATTGAAGCTAATATGGGTGAGGAATTCTGTGGTGTAACATTAGCGTTGGCCATTTTTTTTTATTTTTTATTTTTTTTTGCTCTGATACCAAGTTGAAAATGAAAATGCCTTTTTATATAATTTACAGTGTTCAGCTACCTATCTAAATATACACTTTGCAGGTGGGAATTAAATAGATACAGGGAGCCTATTCTAGAAAGTTCAGCTGGAGCCATTCACGTGAAATATGGGTGACTATCTGAATCCACTACAACTGAATCTGGTGTAACAGTAAATGTACAACAAGGCTGATTAGTTGCAGTGTATTAGAGTTAATGAGATAATTAACTCTTAACAAGAATTATTGTAAAAAAAATATTTCCCTTTAATTGAAAATTTTCATGTAAAATAAAGTCAAACGAACACCAAAAGATAGATGATTTTCTTCAAAAAAAAAAATTTTTTTGTTGGCAATGGAAACAAATTTCATTTCCAATACTAGTAAAATATATCTCTTTAATTGACAATTTTAATGTAAAACAAAGACAAATGAACACCAAAAACACTTTTATTTTAATATTTTCCACGTGAGAAATTATACCAATCAAACACAATAATTTACAATTCCCAGAAAAATAATTTCAAGGCAATTCAATTTCCTATAATTCGTTTTCAATTCAATTCAATTTCATATTTGCAGTCAAACGGACCCTTAGTCTACAATATCTCAATTAGATAACCACTCAACAGTTAACAAAGAGATACCCTCCCATGTCATGAAAATAAGCTTGTTTTCATTTTTACATAGATTAAGAAAACATAATTAATATATTTGAAACTATAAAATTTACTTACATATACTTTTAACATACGTCTACATTACAATTGTTTAAATATGAGTAGTTAATATTTGTTGATAATAAGATATGTTAATTAGGGATATATTAAAAAATTAAGAAATTAACTATACTCTCAATAAAAAAAGAGACCTATAATATGAAACCGATAAAAAAGAAAATAGATTTATCCTTTTGGGACAGAAAGAGCATAGTTATTAAAACTGGACTGAACCAGGAACTGTCGAACAGGATCTTGGTCCGGTCTAGGTGATTCAATTGATCAAGTAAGCATATGAATTGATCAAAAATCGGTTAAACCATTAACCAACCGTCTGAACTAGACGATTTTAAGTGGATTCAAATCCAGTTCACATATTAAACTGGATGGTTACTAAATTGAAGTAAACTTTTATTGTTAAATACTTAAGTTTGCTAGAGCTTTGATTCGAACCCTAGCAACAAAAGAGATATTTTACCTCCATGACTATTATGGCCACTGATGGTTCTTAGTCATCTAATGTGATCAATATATATATATATATATATTAGATTTCAAAAAATGTTTTACATTTTATTTAAAAAAATATAATATAATTAAAATTAAAGTCTAATAATAATCAACCGATCGAATTATTGACCTGAAGGTTTTGTCTGATCGACCATCAGGTCGAGTCTAATAACTATGGGAAAGAGTACAAAATTTGCCCATAATGCAACTTGGCATTTATAATACATTAAGAATCCCAAGTTGCTAATTAGAATGGAATAAGTCATTTGTATAATGGATTTGTACAACATGCTTGACAATGGTGTAGGAATCACAAAAGCGTTGATGGGAAAGATAAAGTATTTTTTAAACTGTCCAATGATAACTTGTCATGTTGCATGTTGTCAAATTTATTGTAAAAATTATTGTACAACAATCATGATTCAATTAGAATTTTGAAATGAAGAATTGTTTTTAAAATTATTTTCAAGCATATGAGGAATTAATGTTGAAAGAAGCCGTTGTAACATGAAAATTGTGGGAATTAAAATATGATGAAATGTTCTTTGAATGCATTATCTGTAATATTCTAGAATTTATTTGATTAAAAGGTCATTTCTTATTAAAAGAAAAATTATTATTTTAGAAGTTGTCTTTTCTCAATAAATGTGTCTTTGTAATAATACCCTGATTGAGTCCCATTCTTTTTTAAAAATGTATTCTTAGTAGTATTTTGATATCATTTCAATCACACATTTTTCAATAAAAGAATATTACACACAAATGCAAAAAAAAATCTTATTTTTTAATCATACATTTTCCATCAATACACTATTCAAAAATTCATTCTTTTTCCCAAAATGAGGCTTAGACAAGAGCAATATACCAATATGTCACATTCTCTACACCATTGCCCACAAATTTTATAAAGACTAATTTGTAATTATATTTATTTATTCTATAAAGGTATATTATATTAGTAATACTGAATATTAAATTTATTTTTATTGATTATTATTTATTTAATTAAGATCTTAATTTTTTATTCTTTTTTCAAAAAAGTTTATTATATGGGGAGGGAAAGGAAAAGAGAACGAGAATTGAGAGAACTACCATCTCGTATGTGAGAATTTCACACTATTGTACTAAATCCACGTGAATTTTATTTCAAATGAAAGTTTAATTTTTTGAATTTTATGAAAGTTTATAAAAATTTACGAAAGATTTCTACTAATTTTATACAAATTTATACAAAAAATCTATGAAATCCACAAAAATCATCACTTAAAAAAGTCTATTAAAGTGTTCAAAAGTCTCAATTGAATATTATAGGAGAGGGATTCGAGTCTCAGACAAATTAAGTTTCAACTTTTATTGAAAATAACAAGATTGAGTTTAAAACAAATAGATAGACGTGTAATTATATTCATTATATTCAAAATAAGATAAACTAGAGTTGTATATGTTGTATCAGTACCAGCACCAAACATATCCTGTCAAAAGGAAAAGGATTAGACGATAACCAAATTGTTTCTTCAATGAAATCTTATGTGTTTTGAATATTCTTTGCAAGAGAGAGAGAGATAGAATGGGAGACTTACAAAAACGAGAGCTTTAATGGTATCAGTTTCAATAGGGTAACTGGAACTATTCTCCCTTTGAATTTCGAGCAATATGTCCACAAAATCTACTTCATCGCTGCTCCCATCACGATCTGTCTTTCCTTGCATTTGACTGTTGGAATTAATTGAATTTGATTTGGGTTTGATTTGGGTTTAAAATATTAAATGTAATATTTAATGATATGGGCCGCAAAGTACGCATTGGGCGCTTTAGAGGCGCACTTGACACGTCGCGAGGAGCTGGAGAGCCTTATAGTTTTTAGAAATGGACTCGTAGTTTGATGACGTGGCAGCACAAGGCTCGGTGAGTTGGCATTCTAGGTGGCGCACGAGTGGTAGGTCGCGTCTCTTCGTCTTGCGTGGCGGTTAGATGTACGCGTGGCTGTGACTGTTCAGAAATTGGTGAATAAGCATGATGAATGGACACTTCATTTCATGGTTCAATCTGGGCCGTCAGATCATAAAAATAGTGCGATCCAATGGCTAAGACGAATCAGACCAAGTGATGCACCAGTTCCTGAAATGTCACACACCTGTTCCATGAGACACTTCAATCTCTATAAATAGGGACCCCCAGATTCGTTTTTTTACAGACCAAATCAATTACGAATTCAATTGATTTCTAAATTCTTCTCTCTCCATATTCTGCTCTTAAAAAATCTCTTATAATTCCGTGGTTATTCCGTTCAAGTACGGTCATTCATTGGTTCGACCGACAAGGTTGGTATTGTACAGTATCGACCTTGGAAGGAGCGTTGTATCTTGGGAGACAGACGTCCATTATCCTGTTTGCACTTCATTGGAGGGCGAAATCTGTCTTAAGGAGATTTGCTTACTTTATTGGCATACCTCACTTCATTTACTGTTTATTTTTTTGCTTATTTTATTTCTTCTTTTGATTGCATTAGTCGAATTTCCGACAACAATTCGACTTCTATGCTCTTCAACTACACGGGTCAAAAATTCATCAAATGATTCAGCCACTTTCTCCAATCTGGCATCCAAACCATTCACACGACTAACCCAGTTTAGCCATGGCACGAAATCCCCAGGGTTAAAAGTGACCAATAACTCCCCAATCTCCTTCAACATCAACTCAAAGTTCTCACTTTCTTCTCCACCGCCATATTTCTTCCCCAAGACCACTCTACTTATAATACCATTAGTAAGCGACACCAATAGATTGCTCAAGTTTACCTCAGATATCGAAGAAGAGGATGAATTTCTAATTTTTTTCAATCATAAGGGACGTTTCTTCTTCTCTTATATGACGACAAGATTGAACCCTCTTGTTGCTCAAAAGCTGAAGCACGCCTATACTTCTAACGTGCCTCCAGTGATCACCATAACGAGCGAAAGCTATGTCCTTGGAGCCATAAACAATTCTATGCATAACACTTAGTTTCGGCCTGCTTGAGAAAATCAGGTCCTGATTTTTCACTATCTCTCGAACCGCGTCCGCGGAGGTGACTATCAGTGCTGGTACACTGCCCAAATGAAGCATCATGAGTGGACCGTAGCGTTCGGATAGTTCTTTAAGGGAGCGATGAGGGTGTAAGCCGAGTTGGTGAAGATTTCCAATTACTGGAAGTTTCGCTGGAGATGGTAGCAACCTTTTCTTGGATTTTGAAGTAGCCCATTTGTAAAGGAAGATGATGAACAAAATAAAGGAAACAAAATAAATCATTTTCTTCTATTAAAGCAGATGAAATTTGCAGGACAATTTTGTATATGTTCTACTCTTTATAGTATGTGTTTCTCCCTTAACACCAATATTTAATCTTGAAGATCATACTGGGAAGGCAGATGCAGTCCGTGATGAATTTCAACATGTTTTTTTTTTTTTTTTTTTTTTTAAATTATGAACTGCAGTCTAGTTTTGGTTTTAGCATGCTGGCTTGTCCGTTTGCTCGAATGACGCCAAACGTCTAGATGGAGTTGACATCTTTTGTATTATTGCCTCTATTATTGCCTCCATAAGATATTTTCTTGAGCCATCGTAACAATTATTGAAACAATGGAGTCAAAATACTAACTATAATAATGACTGGTATTTAGTAGCACGTAATGATATACATCATTCATTTGAATTCTCAACTTTGAATAGTTTTCTCTTAGTCTACTATATATCAGCCAGATAACCACTCAACAGTTAACAAACGGATACCCTCCCGTCCCGTAAAAATAAGCTTGTTTTCATTTTTACATAGATTTGGAAAACATAATTAATATAGTTGAAACTATATAATTTACATATATATAATATGAGTAGTTAATATTTGATGATAACAAGACACATCAATTAGTGATATATTAGAAAATTGAGAAATTAATTATACTCTCAATAAGAAAAGAGACTTAATTATAATACGAAATAGATAAAAAGGAAGAGTAGATCTATCCTTATGGGATGGAGAGAGTACAGAATTTGCCCATAATGCGACTTGGTGTTTATAAAGGTTGAACTCCAACCTTAAAGGCTCCCACTGCCTCGCCTCTGGAGTATCGTGAGGAAGGTAAATTGCGGGATATGCCACAGCAGGCTAAGGAACAAGGGCTTGCCTGTACACTGATGCCCACAAAGGGTCAAATTCCGTATCTCAGGAATCGAACTTTCACACTGTAACTATCAGCAAGGCTGTGACTACTTCACTCCTATCCTTTGTACCACTGGACTATGCCCCGAGGGGCACAACTTGGTGTTTATAATATATACATTAAGAATCCCAAGTTGCTAATTAGAATTTTGAAATGAAGAATTGTTTTTAAAATTAATTTCAAGCATATGAGAAATTAATCATGAAAGAAGCCGTCGTGACATGACAATTGTGGGAATTAAAATATGATGAAATGTTCAATTAATTTGAATGCGCGGGATATGTCACAGCAGGCTAAGGAACAAGGGCTTGCCTGTACACTGATGCCCCACAAAGGGTCCAATTCCGTATCTCAGGAATCGAACTTTCACACTGCAACTATCAGCAAGGCTGTGACTACCTCACTCCTATCCTTTGTACCACTGGGCTATGCCCCGAGGGGCACAACTTGGTGTTTATAATATATACATTAAGAATCCCAAGTTGCTAATTAGAATTTTGAAATGAAGAATTGTTTTTAAAATTAATTTCAAGCATATGAGAAATTAATCATGAAAGAAGCCGTCGTGACATGACAATTGTGGGAATTAAAATATGATGAAATGTTCAATTAATTTGAATGCATTATGTGTAATATTCTAGAATTTATTTGATTGAAAGGTGGTTTCTTATTAAAAGAAAAATTATTATTTTAGAACTTTTCTCTAAAAGTGTCTTGTACATAAAAACGACTTTCAACAAGTATGTCATATTCTCCGCACTATAACCCAAAAATATATACCATTCTGCATTTTTTTATTCCTGTTTCAAAAGAGAGTACAAAGCATTGTTCGGTTTGTGGTTCTCTAAATTTGAGAACAATCTGAAAACTTGTGCGAGGCAAAATTCTTTTAAAGAAGAAAACTTTTAACTCTTGCCACAACAAAATTTAATTCATTCTGTTGGGAAAACACCTCCCAAAGATAGCCCAAAAGATCAAACAAAGTTGACCATGTGAAAATTTCCAAAACACTTGAAGAACAAGAAAATGAGGAAGAAATGATTTCAATGGAATATATGAAGATCAATGTGTTTGGATTACTTGAACAAGTCTCAAGTTAATCCCCAAGAAAGAAAATAACTTTGAATTTATACCCAAGATGAACAACCTTTCAATCTTGTAAAATTCTCTCCAAGTTTTCTCTCTTTTCCTCTCTTAGAACCGGGCTCTAGGTCTTGAAAATTAATGAAAGAGGGAAAAATGGCAATATATATATATATATACATGCCGGGGCGCCTAGGCGCCAACATTCTGCCTTGGCTCCACAGTCGGGGCGCCTAGGCGCCTGCACATGGCGCCTAGGCGCTGCCTTCACTACCTTCACCACCTTCACCCTTCTCCCTTCTTCTCACAATTCTCCACCTCGTACATCATTTTATAAACCTCAAATTTTGGACGAACACAAGAAGAAGAAACAAGCACCAAAACTCGGCTGCACCATTCAAACCATGATTGCCTACGTACCCAAAAAACTCGGGATCAAGCCTCCGTAGTTCACCTCCACCTTCATATACACTCCACCTCATTTCAACCTCGCCCCGAAGGGCCATGCCCTCTTGGGCATATCAACACGGACTAATGTGAAGTAAGTCCAAGCAATGTTGAAACTTACTACCCGTCACCACTTTGATTAACATGTCAGCTGGGTTCTCATTTGTGTGTACCTTCGAGAGTGAAATATCACATTCCTCTATAACATCACGCACAAAATGATACATGACGTCAATATGCTTGGTTCGAGCATGATGAACCTGATTCTTAACCAAGTGAATTGCACTTTGGCTATCACACCACAAGTCCACACAATCCTGCTCAATCCCCAAATCATCTAGAAGACCCCACAACCACAATGCTTCCTTCACTCCCTCTGCCATGGCCATATACTCGGCCTCTGTAGTAGAAAGAGCAACTGTAGCCTGTAACATCGATCGCCAACTAACTGGGGCACCATGTATGCAAAACACATATCCAGTAGTAGATCGTCATCTATCTAGATCACCTGCATAATCCGAGTCCACAAACCCACTTATATGACATGCATCTCCACCAAAACATAGACCCGTATCCGCAGTACCTTTTAAGTACCTCAGGATCCACTTCACAGCTTCCCAGTGTGCCTTCCCCGGATTCACCATGAATCTA